ACCGGTTCTTTTGCTTCTTTAGGCGGCTAGTGGTGGTAATGGCGATTCAACTGGTGGCGGAGGTGGAGCCGTAACAACATTGAACGAAAATCAACTTTCTCGCTTGCGGCTTATCCTAAAACCTTTCATGCTTCGTCGGGTAAAAGCGGAGGTGGAGCATGAAATCACTGAAAAAGTGAGTTTTACACCTGTTAATATATTTTGACGTCTTCTCAATGCAGTTCTTCAATGTTTTGTTTACTTACAGACAGAAGTTTTAATCTACTGTCCTCTGACAAGACGTCAAAGCCTCCTCTACAATCGACTGAAGAGTAAAATTCGAATTGAAGATCTCAACTCAACTGACGGTTTTACAATTCGCAATGGCGGAGGCGGTCTTCAAGAAGCAAATGGTCAACAGGAGAGCAATCGTCTCATGAATCTAGTCATGCAATTGCGAAAGGTCTGCAACCACCCTGACCTCTTTGATCGTCGAGACGTCCGGTTTAGTTGCACTTCTGTTCGCCCCTTTGAAGCCGCGGGAGGAAATGGGTTCTGGTGGGTTCCAAAACTCCTTTTTGATGAGGGACTTGTTTATGGACAATCGTGGAGATGCCTTCCAGGGAACATCGATCTCGGAGCATGTGAAGGGAAGATGTGTTTGATTTTCCAGCATTTTCTCCTCAGTCAACTAGTGCTTTCAGTCTGGAAGGGTCTTCAGAGTGTATACCAGGTTCCTGAAAGCCCCGATCCTGTGTACACTATCACATCGGACGGTACTGCGTTCGAGATGGAAGGAAAATGTCGAATTCTACCTCTAAAGCAATCAACTGTTGCGGAGAGAGCATTGTTAGCTCGTATTCAATACCCTGGATTTGTGTATTCAGCATTCATGCTACCCGTGAGTATTTTTTTTTATAATCTTTTGTGTCAAATCGGTATCAATAACGGGGTGAACGTGCAGTTGTAAAATACGATCTCTCACTTGCACAATTTTGTGCATATTCCAGCATTTACTGCGTGCCTAGAAAGCACCTCAACCTCGGAGTATTTGTTAACACTTCTGGATCACATTTGAGTGCCTTCTTTCACTTTAGCATTGGTGTTGAAGCGCCGTCCTCCTGAGCTTTTAGTGCTTAGCTAGTGAGGGTTTGAATATAGTGAAGGATGACAAGTGTCAACGACTCTTTGTGGACTAATCGTCTAGGAGTAGGTGTTCCACGTCACAAACAATCACATATATGGCCACTTTGCTATGGTCTGAAAGCTACTGCGGTTAAGATTATCAG